GCACACGATTCCTAACTATGCTCGAACAAGGAAAGAATTCTAAATCAAAACAACCAAACGTAAACAACCCAACAAAAGCTTAATCCTAGTCCAAACATGATTCTGATTTTAAAGGTCTTTCCCAAGACAGCAAACCAATCTTCGAACGATCTTTGGGACGTTTCTTCGAAGACTTCCAGGCTCCCTTTTCTTCATCCAATTCCACGACGTTGTAGAAGAACATGCGAGCTTTCATGTGATGCCTTCCTCCGGCTTCGAATCTCCTTCACGTCTCTCGAATTAAAGCTCAAAGTACCCTGCTCGAACACGGTTCCATACTTAATCGAATCTGGCAAATTTTCCAGTGTTGAGGTATCATCTTGAGAGACCTGGAACACCAAATTCTGGACTTCCCCTCTAACGCCAAAGTACGCCAACTGAAAGAGCAACTCTCCTTCTCCCAGATAAGCCCGAGAACTCCCATTTCCATTAACCCCACAGAGAGCTAGCATTGTACAAAGTTGGTACCTGAAACAGTCAAAAATACTTGGGCAGATTTTCCGTTTAAGCTTTGAATCTACAACGATCAATCCGGAATGACTTAAGGAGAGATTCAGGATTGTATCAAGCCCCCCTTGTTGAAAAAGCTTTGACCTCAAAGCTGTGATCTTCCGTTCCTCAAATGCTGCAGCAAAGCGATCCCAAATGGGATCGAAAGAGACCCTCCCAAACCACCATTCCTGGAAAATTAGGGTACAGTTCTTCACGGCCCAAATTGGGGTTTTTGGATTCCAGCATCCCCAATGCAATTGGCTACCACCATCAGCTTCGTCGAGGTTCGAATCGTATTTCTGGGTTGGTGTTGGCTCTCGACTCTTCATCGTTTGCGCCGACTCGAGAGTTGGAGCTTTCCCGCCACTATCGATATTCAAAAGTTGCCAACCCCTCAAGCTTGATTCAGATTTGGGCGTTTGGAACACAGGTGGTTTGGGGTCGAATTGATGGACTTGAGAGCTTCCTGGAACTTCGACAAAGGGTTCTGCAGCGGTAGATTGCATCGAAACCGTTCCAATTACTCCAAGCCATTCACCCGATTTGTCGTCGCGTTCTTCAGTTTTCAGGGCACTTTCGGGTGAGACTTGATTCGACAAAGCAAATGACTTCGACCCATTTTCTTCATAATTTGAGCTTTCCGAGAGAATTTGGGATGTGTTGGCGCGGGTCTCGGGGCTCGAATCGTTGTCCACTGGTCGGGCCAATAGACCCTCTCTCCTCCCCTGCTCCGGCGAAACACAGCACCGTCGTCGACGCGGAGTTTGTTTCTTCTTTAACCCGGTGAGCATGAAGCGGCGGGTAAGTAGTGTAGAACTGGGGTCATCAGAAGACTTCCCTTTTGGCCGTCGTTGGCTAGCCATCATGTGTCGTTGATCGTCTCGCACTTCCTCCGGTGTCAATGGCTTCAACACGAACACCTTTCCCCGGTGTCGAACCTGATACTGGTTCGTTCGTCCATCATGGCTAACACCCCGATCAAATTGCCAGGGCCTGCCTAGCAAGACGTGAGCTGCCTACATAGGAGCCACATCGAATTCCAGCTCGTCTCTATACTCCCCAATCTCAAAACTTACCTTAGCTCGCTTAGTGACTCGAATTGCTCCGTAGTCATTGAGCCAGTGCAGGTTGTAAGGGTCTGGGTGTCTCATCGTGCTCAAAGCGAGCTTGTCGACGGCGTCCTGGCTGATGACATTGGCGCAACTTCCTCCGTCGACGATGAGTGTCAGCAACTTGCCCTTCACCTCACATCGCGAGTGAAATAGGGTCTCCCGTTGACTGAGATCCTGTGAGCTACCGACTGTGAGGGCTCGGAGGCTGACTCCCAGCAATTTTCCATTAGGAGTCTCCACCTCGATGTTCTCGTCAGTCTTCTCCCCGTCACTGGAGTCTGATTGCTCGCCGTCGGTGACATAGTCGCCGTCCTTGAGAATCAGAGTTTTGGGGGTAGGACACTGGCTAGCCTTGTGCCCCCGTCCAAAACACTTAAAACACTGAATTCCGCCTGCGGACGAAGTTGACGGATTGTGTCGATTTGCTGGTTTAGGGCCTTCAATCCGTATCGGTGACGGATTGACATCCACCGCCGTCTCGATCACAGTCTTGTTCACCGGAGTGATTTTCCGGGACGATCTCTGTTGCTTCTCGATTTTGATCGCGAGATGCAAAGCTTCCTCCAGCTCAACAAAAGACCTCAAGTCAATCTCCTGTCGAATTTCTCGACTCAATCCATGGAGGAATCGAGCGATTGTTGCTTCTCGATCCTCCCTGACGTCGGCTCGCATTAGGAGTAATTCCAATTCACGGAAATATTCTTCTACAGTCCGCCCTCCCTGCCGAACTCCTTGCAGCGCCTCGTGAATCTCTCTCTGAAAGTAGGCAGGTAAAAAACGGTCTCGCATCAGGCTACGCAGTTCCTCCCACGTTGTGACCTCTGGCTGCAAGTTTCGTCGCCGACGAAGGCGAACCTGTTCCCACCATTGAGCAGCGTATTCGCTGAACTCATAAGTAGCCAATGCTACCTTCTGTTGCTCTGTGTAGTGTCCGCACTGAAAAAACAGCATGACCTTGCGTTCCCAGTCTAGGTAAGCCGTGGCGTTCATCGTTCCCTGAAACGTGGGTAAGGTCAGTTTAATACCAGGGGGAATTGCCAGCTCATCGTCCCTGTTGGCTCGCCGTTCCCGAGCGTGGCGATCACGATTAGGTTCAACCACCACCAGGCGGCGCTCCAGCTCCGCAATCCGATCTGCCAACGCCGGATTTCCATCGGGAACTTTGTCACCTCGAACTTCCCTTTCTTGCGCCCTGTTTTCCGGTGGCGCGATTGCGTCAAATCGTTGATCGATCTCGCGCTTCAATTGGCCCAATTGAGCCTGGAATCTGGCGTCGATCTGAGTCAAAAGCTCCTCCATGTCGAACTGATGTCCCGCCATGGTTCGTTGGATAGAGTAATCCTTGTTCTCGTCCTGCGATGCGTGCCCTGTTTTCGGTCGTCGTGCAGCAGGGTCGTCGGACACAGGGCCCTTCGACCTCGTCCAACGCGTTGTTGCAACAACGTCGTCCGTCGTCCTGTCCACTGCGTTGAACCAGGCTCTGATACCACTTGATGAGGCCAAGATTAGGTCTCCATGATCAGAGTTGGCGGATTGAGAACTTGCTTCCAATCGATGGATCGAGTGAAAAGAACTTTGAGTGATTTGGGGTGGAAATCTCGTGCAACCCTCACCTGGGAAGGAGGCTCGAAGATTGTAGTCGAAGCTCGACCACGATCAGGATGGCAACTGATAGATACAAGCAAACCAAACAACCTAGACGTCGCTCTAGGATGCTCAACTCAAGCTGGGAAACCGGCTGGGTTTTTAATTGAAACTCCAAAACTGAATTTTACAATGAAAAGCAGAAACTTAAATAGAGCACACGATTCCTAACTATGCTCGAACAAGGAAAGAATTCTAAATCAAAACAACCAAACGTAAACAACCCAACAAAAGCTTAATCCTAGTCCAAACATGATTCTGATTTTAAAGGTCTTTCCCAAGACAGCAAACCAATCTTCGAACGATTTTTGGGACGTTTCTTCGAAGACTTCCAGGCTCCCTTTTCTTCATCCAATTCCACGACGTTGTAGAAGAACATGCGAGCTTTCATGTGATGTCTTCCTCCTGCTTCGAATCTCCTTCACGTCTCTCGAATTAAAGCTCAAAGTACCCTGCTCGAACACGGTTCCATACTTAATCGAATCTGGCAAATTTTCCAGTGTTGAGGTATCATCTTGAGAGACCTGGAACACCAAATTCTGGACTTCCCCTCTAATGCCAAAGTACGCCAACTGAAAGAGCAACTCTCCTTCTCCCAGATAAGCCCGAGAACTCCCATTTCCATTAACCCCACAGAGAGCTAGCATTGTACAAAGTTGGTACCTGAAACAGTCAAAAATACTTGGGCAGATTTTACGTTTAAGCTTTGAATCTACAACGATCAATCCGGAATGACTTAAGGAGAGATTCAGGATTGTATCAGCTTTCATTATGTAAATGGGTATGGTTTGGATATGGATATCCATTTACTTGAGGGTGTTTTAACTACACACACAAAAATTGGACCTATTTGTAAAACTCGAAAAGTTTAGGTACCAAAATGTAAGACCAAAAAATTTTAGGTACTAAAATGTAATTTTCCATCAATATTTTGAGGACTTATATGCAAAAAAAATTAAATTTAGGTACTAAATATGCATATCTATTAAGTTTATGTACCAAATTGTAATTTTCCTTTGAGCATGGGTACAAACCCAAATTCATATGTTAAAAACCCAACCCAACCCAAGTAAATGGGTATGGGTACAAATCCATCTAACTCTACCCATCTACCATTTATTTGGAATCCATACCCAACCGAATTGGGTTGGATAGTAAAATACCCATGGGTATGGACAAAATTGTCATCCCTGATTGCCACTTAAAAAAATGGGGCTCCAGTCTCTAACCATAATCTTCTGTTATTTCTATTATCAAAATGTGATAGACGTGTTTTACTAATAAAACACATAGTTAACCAGCCAGGTTCGAGTTTAGCTAGTCAATGAATCATTTATTGTTATTAAGAGCACTTTTACTATGCTTTAAAGTATTGGTGTTTTATGTACAACTTAAAGTTGTACTATAAGGAAATGAGACCATTATGTTGTGGCACAACTTCAAATTGTGAATTTGTACTAGAACATAAAGGTACAACTTTAATTGTACCATAAAGGGAATTTACAAAATAGTAGAGATACAACCTAAATTGTACCATAACGTTAAAGTACAATTTTAAGTTGTACCATAAAGGCAAAAACTAAAACACCAATGCTTTAAAACACTGTAAAATTCCTCTGTTATGAAATTGTAATGTTAGGGTTTCAATTTTATCCAAACTCGTTGAAAAATATACTAACATGGCTTATGGTAATTAGTATTTTTTTGCAATAGATTTTTAACAATAGTTTATTATATCGTTGAAAAATTATCCATGTCATTAGCAGCCGGATGAGCTATATCTTAAATTCATCCAACAATAGTTTATTATCTTAGGAAGAAAAAAAAAAACAATCGATGTCACATAGCGACACAAAGAAATATTAGTTGGTTAGATAGTGGCTGTAATCGATTACATAACTTAATATCATCGATTATCTCATTCCAAGTAATACATAATTTTGTGTTACTTTATTATTTTATAAACAATCATTAGAGAATAAACTTTATTTTATAGATAACAATTAAACGATTCATCACAAGTTCACAACATTCTTTCTAGTATGATGACAACATCCATGTAGTATGCGTCATACACGTGTCATTATACATGATCGCTATTCATCGGCAGCATCAGAAGTAGTAGTAGCAGTAGCAGCAATCGACGTCCCCGGCGGATAACGAGAAATGCAGTCTCCCCACACATTCCCATCCTCCAAGTCCCTCATCACCGTCCAGACGCACGTGTTGCACATAAAGCCGGCCCCCAGCCCAACCATCAGAACCCGATCCCCTCTCTTCAGCCTCTTCTTCGCCTCCATGTACCCGAAAACATACCAAGGGCTGCTGCATGACGTGTACCCGAACCGATTCAGTGTCATCCGAGAAGGCTCCACGTCATCTTCCCCGAGCCCCAGGCTCCTCCCCACCGCGTCGATCACCGCCTTCCTGCTCGTGTGCACGCAGAAATGCTGGATCCCGCTCTTCACGCTCACGCCCGTCATCACCCTCCTCCGCAAAAAGCGTGCCAATATCTCCCAGAGTGGCAGCACTTTCGGGAGCAGCACCCGGAAGTTCGCCACCAGTGCCAGCTTGGCAGTGTCGGTGGACTGTCTCGAGACGCGGAACCCGGGGCAGCCCTCCTCGTCCTCGATCTGGACGACGCTGTCGTAGGCAGCGTCGTCCGCGAGGTGGGTCCGGACGAGGGCGGTCAGTTTTGCGACGGCGCGGTGGCTCCAGGAAGGGTTGTTGGTTAGGAGTAGGCTGCAGCCGCCGGTGCGGAAGACCGCGTTGGGGAGCATCATCGACCTGTCCCTTCCTCTGTAGTAGTGGGCGCCGACGGCCTCCGTACTGACCACGACGGCGAGGGCGGTGGGTGGCATGGTGGTGAAGAGGTGGCGGACGAGATCGATCCCCACGATGCCGGAGCTGCACCCCATCCCGGCCAGGCTGTACGACTTGATGCCTTGCTTCATCTTGTAACGGTTCACGATCCGGGCCGAGAGGGACGGGGACGGGGCGAACAGGGAGACCGTGGTGACGAGGATGTCGACGCGGGAAGGTGGGACGCCTGAGGTGGTGAAAAGCTTGTCTAGGGTTTCGAACATTGGGGCGTCGGCCTCCTGGAGGGATTCGTGGAGCGTTGCCGGGGATTTGCGGGATTCGGCTATGTTTCTGGGGCCGCAGGTTTCGGCGCCGATGCCCGAGGTGGCAAGGGAATTTAGGAAGAAGCGGCAGTCGTCGGGGTCGTGGTTGCGGTGGCTCAGGATTTTGGTGAAGGTTTCGGTGGTGAACCTGAGGTCGGATGGAGGTTTGTAGCACTGGTAGGCTACCAGGTAGCAGCAATAACGTTGCCCTAGCTGTAATTTCTGGCGTACGAATTCTGGAAGCGGATGGTAGAAATGGAATACGAGCAGGATGGTGATGGTGAGTGGGAGAATGGTAATTATTGCTGCCAATGATAAATCCATGGAGAGAACGGTGGATTAGGGTTCACAGCATGCCAGCTGATTTATATGTGGATGTTAAGGTTCTTCATTAGAAAATGATTATGTATGCGGGCGTTTTTACGTTGGAGGGAGTAGTTCGTTTCGTGGTGATCATGACATTCAATTAATTGATGACTATATCTCGATTGATTTTTATCTTAAGAGGATTTTAGCTAGTTCCCTGTGTATAGCAGATCAAATATGGAAAGAAAGAAGATGCACCGTCTTGTATCTGCATTAGGTATTGACGAACTTAACTATCCATTGGTTTCTTGCATATGTTACCTGCCAAACATAACAAAAATGTCTTTCATTATAGTGTTATTAAAGTCAGATTCCTTACGTCTCTGGCCAAAACTAGACCACCTACACATACAATCTCTATCGGCCTCATGAATTTGGGACCATGAACATATATGTGACAGCAAATTGAATGCAAACTGGCAATTTTATTTATTGATAGAAATCGATCTTTATACACAAGACTCTCAATAGAAGCCTTCAAATTCGACTTTGACAAAGGGCTCTAACAACTCGATTCCTGGGAAGTAGCCCCATGACTAACCAATTGACTCTGCTGAAACTAATCACTGCAACGACTAGTTCACCTAACCTAACCACTATTGACATAAAGCAAACATCAAGGACTAAACTGCAAAATACCAAACGACACGGTTTAACTTAAACGAACACTTATACACTTAAACTTGACACCAGCTCTTTCCTTCTCCACAACGGATTCGGATTCAGCACCAGTTCAACACCTTCAACGAACATGATCTTCAACAGCCTCCCCTGAACTGAAGCATCTTCGATCAACTTCAGTTCATCAATCTTCAGACTTCAGTTCAACTCCATCAACCAGACCAAGCCTGCTGCGCATCAACTGGAAAGTCTCTAACTTCAATGGCTTGGTCATTATGTCTGCTATTTGCTCTCCAATCTCACAATGTTCAAACTCAATATTTCAATTCCTGCCAACTCCCTTAAGAAATGAAAGCGTACACATCTACGTGCTTATTCTTCCATGCATAACTGGATTCTTGGAGAGGTTAATAGTTGAACTATTATCATACATGATCTTGGTTGTTCCTTCCACACATTCCAACCATCCCATTTGAGTTACAATTCTCTTTAACCATACATACTGAGCTCCAAGAGAAGGATGCAGCTACAAATTCGGCATCGGTTGTTGAAAGGGTATAACAGGTTGTTTCTTCGAGCTCCAAGAGATTGCTGAGAAATAAAGATGCCACAGTCAGATTGGGTTGCCTCCACTCCCAAGAAGAACTTCATTTTTCCCAGATCTGTCATTTCAAACTCAGCTTCCATGTATTCCTTGAATTCCTTCAACAACTCAGGACTGGTGCTGGCATAGATTAGGTCATCAACATACACACTGACCATTAGCACATCTTCTTTCCTCTTCTTCACAAACAAGGTGTGTTTAAACTCACATCTTTCAAAACCAGTGTTGAGAAAGTGAATTTCAATTCTGTTGAACCATGCCCGAGGGGCCTGCTTTAGGCCATACAAAGCCTTCTGCAACTTGTACACCTTGCTTTCTTCTCCAGGAACCTCAAAACCTTATGGTTGTTCAATATAAACTTCTTCTGTGAGTTCCCCCTGCAAGAAAGCACTTTTAACATCTAACTGATAAACAGTCAGATCATACTGTGTAGCAAGAGCTAGGAAATACTTAGCCCTTTGCCACCAACCTTGCCTTAGATTTTTCTATGGAGCCATCTTATTTCAACATGGTTCTATACAGCCACTTGAATCCAATTGGAGTCACTCCTGCTAGTCGGTCAACCAAGGTCCATGTAAGATTCCTTTTGATAGCATCCATCTCTTGCTCCATAGCATTTCTACACCTTTCTTCAAGTATAGGTTCTTCAAATGAGGTTGGATCACCACTGACAACAACAAGAGCCCACCAGTCAGTCTCAGCAAATGTCAAGTTAGGCATTACTTGATAGTCAAATCCATCAAAATAAATTGGAAACTTACGAGTTCTGGGTCCTAGTTCACTACTGATTGGGAGCCCCAAAGCATCGGTCATGTTCTCTTCCTCCTCTTCTTCTGATTTTGTTGCAGCTGATGTGATTGGTTCTGATACTTCAAAATTTGTGGGAGCTGGATTATTTTCATTTACCTCTTCAGTGGTGTTTTCTGTCTCCTCTCTAGTATTACCTTGTCCATCATCATCATCTCCTTGTTGTGAATCATACCAAGCTTCTTCTCCTCCTTTCAACACAAGCTTGGTCAAGACAGGTTATGTCTCAGGTTTCCAAATCCAACCTTCCTTCTCATTGAAGATCACATCTCGGCTAATGATGATCTTCTTTGTTTCAGGATTGAAAAGCTTGCAGGCTTTGGATTCTTTGAACAATAACAGAAAGTTGCACTTGACACTTTTGTCATCCAATTTCTTCCTTAAACTGTCATGAACATGAGCATAGGCTAGACAATCAAATACTTTGAAGTGGTTTACTAAGGGAGATTTTCCATTCCATCTTTCTTGTGGTGTCTTGCCATCGTTGGCTATAGTTGGACTTATGTTGAGAATACAAGTAGCCCAATCTACAGCCTCGGGCCAGAAAGATGATGGAACCTTGGTATCCTCCAGTGAACATCTAACCATGTTCATGATAGTTTTGTTCTTCCTCTCAGCAACACCATTTTGCTGTGGGGTGAGAGTAGCTGTTATCTGCCTTCTGATGTCTGCTTCTTCACATACATCTCGAAATTCATGTAATGGAAACTCGCTAGACCTATTAGTTCTAAAACATGCAATGGTTCTCCTAGTTTCATTTTCTACTTGTACTTTAAATCGTTTGAAACAAGATAGAGCTTCTAATTTTTGCAGATAGAAAGTAAATCCATGGCTTTCTGCTAAAGTCATCGGTAAGGGTCATGATATACCTTTTCCCTCCATTGGATGCAAGAGTAATGGGGCCACATAAGTCATCATGTAGAAGTTGGAGTGGTCTGATGGCTCTCCATGCTCCTTCCTTTGGAAACTTGTTTCTTCATTGCTTGCCAATCATGTCGGCTCCACAGACTCCAAGTTCACCTGTCAACTTTGGAAGCCCCCTGCACTAGCCTTTTATGTTGTAAATGCAGCAAACCAGCCGTGCTAAGATGGCCAAATCGTCTGTGCCACAAGTTTAGTGTATCATGATGTTCAACATTAGTCTGCAGACAGTGATTACCCCCTACAGTGTGATGTTTGGCTTGCGGGACTAAAATCTTGTTAGACTTCATGGATGTCTGTAGCAGCAAGCCATGCTTGTCATGGTAGATCCTGCAGCTTCCATTCTTAATTGTGAATGCAAGATTCTTCCCATGCATCTGTACCACGCTTAGAAGATTTGACTTCAGACAAGGCACATAAAACACATCCTCAAAGACCAGAGGAACTTCATCAACTGTCATTTTGATAGATCCTTTCCCTTGAACATCCAGTTTGCTTCCACTGCCCAATTTGACATCACTTTTGAAGCCAGTGTCGAGTTTGATGAACCAGCTCTTGTCACCACACATGTGATTGCTGCAGCCACTGTCAAGGAACCACCAACCACCATTCTTCTTCATGGTCTCACCATTGGAAACCTTTTCTTCTGAGTAAGCCATCAATAGAACATCATCTTTGATGTCATTAGACCCCAGCTCGAATAGTGAGCTTGCCGCTCAAGACATTCTCGACTGAAATGTCCCATCTTATGACATTTGAAGCACTCAATCTTATCCCTATTCCATATTCTTCCTCTTCCTCCACTGCCTTGATATCCAGTTCTGCCTCCTCTTCCTCTACCACCACCAAACACTTGCAGAGCTTGCTCTTCACCATATGGCGACTTTGCAAACTTCTACTCATGAACAAGCAGAGAGCTTTGCAGGGCATCCACAAACATTTCATCAATGTCCTTGGACTCTTCAATTGAACACACGATGTAATTAAATTTTTCAGTCAGGGTTCTAAGTACATTCTCAACAATCTTCGTATATGTCATGTCCTCACCGCAGTTCCTCATCGAGTTTGCGATTACCATTACCCGGCTGAAATAACTGGTCACTGTCTCTCCATCCTTCATCTGTAGCAGCACAAAGTTCTTTCTGAGCCCTTGCAGATTTGCCTATTGAATCTACTCGCTACCTTGATAACGAGTCTTCATGGAATCCCACAGCTGCTTGGAGGTTGCCTTCTGAGTGATAGTCTTGAGAATGTTCTTGTCAATAGAACTAAAAAGGAAGTTCTTAGCATTCAGATCCTTCAGACGTGTTGCCTCCCCTGTATTTGTTTGAGCTTCAGTCAGTTCAGATCATGCATCAACTTTTTTGAAACCAGTCTCCACCACAATCCCCAGTTCCTTAGATCTGAGCAGATTTTCCATCAGCATGCTCCAGTGAACATAATCCTAGTCGAACTTGGGAATTCCCACTTGAGCAAAACTGTTGTCGCCACTAATCTTTCTGCTCTCTTTTGATTTCTCTCATCAATAATCCAAATCCTCACCTTGACTCGTGTTTCCCACAACACAGAACCTTTCACAATTTCACACAGCTCACACTCTTGATTGAACACTCTCTGGTTACAGCCAGTGATTGCTCAGATACCACTATGACAGCAAATGGAATGCAAACTGACAACTTTATTCATTGATAGAGATCGATCTTTATACACAAGACTCTCAACAGAAGCCTTCAGACTCGGCTTTGACAAACGACTCTAACAATTCGATCCCTGGAAGTAGCCCCATGACTAACCAATTGACTCTGCTGAAACTAATCGATGCAACGACTAGTTCAGCTAACCTGACCACTACTGACATAAAGCAAACATCAAGGACTAAAATGCAAAATACCAAATGACACAGTTTAACTTAAACGAACACTCATACACTTAAACTTGCCACCAACTCTTTCCTTCTCAAGAACGGATTCGGATTCAGCAACACTTCAATGAACAGGATCTTCAAAAATATGTATATACCTCAATAGTTGGCCTACGTTTTGTTGTACTTTGCACGGGGTGGTAAAGAAAGATAACTGAAACTTGATCTTTTCGATTTAGTTTCTCCCGATTTGTGAGGCACTATTCGATCAATCGAAGTTTTAGATGTGGATGAGGGTGGGTGGCTTTGAGTTTTTGCC